GGAGAAGCAGACTCCCTGCTGAGCAGGGAGCCCAATGCGGGGCTCGATCCCGGGACTCCAGGATCGTGACCTGAGCCGAAGGCAGTCGCTTAACCAACTGAGCCACCCAGGCGCCCTATTTTTATTTATTGAAGTGTAGTTGACCTGTAACTTCCTGTGTAGATGATTCAGTGGCCGCCACGATAAGTGTGGTCCCCATCTGTCATCCTCCCACGTTGTGACAATATTACTATGTTCCCTATGCTGGGCTTTCCATCTCCATGACTTACCCTATAACTGGAAGTTTGTACCTCCTAATCCCCTTCACCTATGTCACCCTTTTTTGAAATAGCTTATTTTGCTAGAGCCTCTGCCCTTCTGGTTCTAATACTAACAGGTTGTATTAAAAAATAATACTCTTGGGGCGCCTGGGTGGCTCAGTCGTTAAGCCTCTGCCTTCGGCTCAGGTCATGATCCCGGGGTCCTGGGATCGAGCCCCGCATCGGGCTCCCTGCTCTGCGGGAGGCCTGCTTCTCCCTCTCCCACTCGCCCTGCTTGTGTTCTCTCTCTTGCTGTCTCGCTCTCTGTCAAATAAATAAAATCTTAAAAAAAAAAAAAAAAAAAAAAAACTTGAAGCACCATGTACAAGGAGAAAGAGGAAATTAAAAAAAAAAAAAAAATTCAGAGGTTGCTGTTGTTAACTTCGAGTGAACATTGTTACCGCGCATGGAGGGAGGGGCAGAAAGGACTAGAGAGATTGGGTGCTGTTCCACATGCTACAATCCTGCATCTCGTTTTTCTCTGATTATGAACAGAAAAGGAAACTGAAGTGGAGTATGTGTTTAAAAAATGTTTCCTTACCACAGTGAGGCTATTTCCTGAAAGGATTTCTCTATGGTTAAGAAAAAGGCTCATGAGAACCGTCCAGAGGTCGGCAGCACGGTTTTCAGTCTCGGGTATCTGTTGGCCCTGTGACGTGGCTCCTAAACCGCGGTGACCCCTGCAAGCATTCTCAGGGTCACGGCACGGATCCAGTCACAGACGCCGAGCCTGGGGTCGGTCTCATGGGCGGTGGAGAGCTGGGCCGTGCGTCACCCACAGTGGCTGCCACTTGGACCTTGCTGAGCGTGCTGTGCACCGTCCGCAGGGAGAGGGCCCCGGGCCCGTTCCAGCCAGCTCGCCTTTGCTTTGCAAGTGATAGAACAAGACTGGCTGTTTCCTCCCCATTTCTAATTGGAGCAAGGGAAAGGAATACTACGGAGGAAGGAGTTTTTCTGCATCTAGTGCAGCATCCCAGGTGTGTTCTGAGGCGCATCCGAGTGTCGGAATGGCTTTGTCAGATGCTTAAGAAGCTGCCCCCCCCTCAGCACACTGTCCTGGCCTTGTCCCCTGGAGAGTGCTGTGGGTGGTCACTTAGAACTTACCAGTATTTACTAACAAAAACATCTGAATACCCAAAGGATATAAAAAAATTACAGCTTTTGATGCCTGTCCGTTGTTTTATTTGGCCCTTGCTGGCTGGCATATTAAACCAGCCTTTATGCATCCTGCGCAAAGAGCCTGTGCTGCTTTGTGCTGCTGTCTTCTAGGACTTTCTGACATGCAGGAGACGTGATTTTGACCGATTTAGACCCTGCGAGAATAAAATTTCTTTGTAGATGGGTTTTATGCGGAGACCAGAGCAGTGGTGCTTAGCTGGACCCATGCCTGGGCCTCCTGGAGGATTTGGCTGACGCAGGGTGGGTTTGAGCAAACCAGCACCCCTTCCCCTCAGGTGACTCTTAAGATCCGGCCACCGTGGGCAAGCACTGCTGAAGAGCAGTCCTTTAACGGCATGCTAGAATTAGACACCTCGGGATGCGAGTACCTTTCCATGGTCCCTACGGAGACCTTTGCTCACAGCCGTGGCTCCACTGAAGATGGAAATCCTGCTTCCAGAATTAGCCTTAGCCCCAGTGTGAGACCCCCCACCGCCCCCAACTTGGTCTCAGAAGACTTTATCAAGGGAGCCTGTCTGCTCTGCGTAAAGGATTTGGGGCATTTGTTGCTTGACTTACACAGCTTTTACCCCCTTCTACATTATGTGATCCATCTTATTTGCTGGACCTGGCCTCAAATGACTGGCTTTTGGGGGGTGGGGAAGGATCTCTGCTTCGGTCAGCAGATCCTTCCTGAGTGATCCCCGCTAGGTGCTTGGCACAGCAAGATCCTGCCGATGTTAGTATTCCGGTGGGGAAGACTGTGAGCAGGGAGACTTCCTACTCGCAGATTGCAGCCAGTGGCTGCGAAGACATGGGTGCTGGGGCCCCACCCTGAGCAGGAGCCCGTGGGAAGAGCAGACCTGAGCTCCAGAGGTGGTGCAGGAAAAGGCTGGGGGTGCTCTCGGAAGTTCCCGCGGCGGGCAGGTGGGGACCCAGCGATGGGGGCATGCTAAGGTCTGTTCCATTTATGATGATTGAGTTTATGTGACCATAGGAGTGCTCCTCTTCCTCCCAGTGGTCTGGGCCTAACTCAGGGCCTGGCAGAGAAGAGTTGCTTAATAAATGTTTATTGAACAAAGACTTAAGATTGAGTCAGAATGCTGGAGTGCAGGGAGCCGGGCGGGGGGGGGGGGCGGGGGGCGGCGGCGGCCCTGACTGTGGCCTTGAACACCTGCCCCTTCTCAGCGGTCAGAGGAGACCGCCTTGCGGGGGAGGGGGGTTGTAGAGAAACTCCTCAGCAGTTTCTTGGTTTATAATTAAACTTTAAATTTTGAGGTAGTTGTAGATTCACAAGTGGTTGTAAGAAACAAAAGAGATCCTGTGTGTCACTCCCTCCCCCACCGTGGGAACCCCTTGTGGAATTCTGCCCCACCCTCACAGCCGTGTTGTTGACCCTGGTCGGGATAGGGGAGAGCAGAGCATCCCATCCCCATGAGCCTCCTTCCCGAGGCCCTTCCCCAACCACTCACCTGTCTCCATTTGATTGTCATTTCAAAAGTGTTGTATACATTGGATCCTCGAGTGTGTGACCCTTGGGCTGGCTTTTTTCACTCAGCATAAATCCCTGGAGTCTCGTCCAAGTTGCCACGTGTGTCAGACTTTGTTCTTTTTTAGACTGAGCGGTGTTCGGTGGTGTGGATGCGGCGCACTTGGTTTAGCCGTCCACAGACAAGGACAGCTGTGTGGCTTCGGGGTTTTGGCTGTTGCAAATAAAGCCGTGTTGAACGTTCGCGTACGGGGTTTGGTGGGAACAGAAGTTTTCATTTCCCCTGAGGTGAATGCCCAGGAGTACAATTTCTGGGTCGCATGGTAGTTGCATGTTTCGTTTTAAAAGAAATTGCTGAGCTGTGCTTCCGAGTGGACTATACAAAGGTTTATGTTTGTTTGTTCTTTCAAATGGCTTAACAATAGAAGGAAAGCCTCCTGTGCAGGAGCTCGGGATACAGCGCACGGGGGCGGGGTGGGGTGGGGGGGCCCTTCCGGAACTCTGCGCTGCCAGAAACCCTGTTTACACGAGGGCCCCACATTCTCCCTGCCGGCTAAAAGCAGCAAGAGAGGAGAGAGTATTTCTGCTGCTCTAATTTCGTAGTGTTGAGCTAGAGGCTCAATTTTCTATCTTAATTTAAATCCTTAATTTAAATTCCGTTTTAAGGCGAGCCTAATCTTTAGGGCCCTGGGCCCAGCTCCTGGGTGTGGAAGGTCCAGACCACGTGCCTGCTGCAGGGAGCACTCCCCCCCCGCCCCGGGGCCGGAGCTGCTGCCGTGTTCTCTCCCATCACTAGGGCACGCGTGTGAGTGGGTGCCTGGGTGCCGGCTGCGCTGGGGACTGGGCTGGCACCCTGGGTGGGCTTGGCCAGAAGCAGAGGCAGCACAGCGGGAAATCTGCACCCAGACTCTCAAGAGGAAGGAAGTCATGGCAAAAATAGCCTGGGTGGGGGGCGCCTGGGGGACTCAGTCGTTAAGCGTCTGCCTTCGGCTCAGGTCATGATCCCAGAGTCCTGGGATCAAGCCCCGCATCGGGCTCCCTGCTCCTTGGGAAGCCTGCTTCTCCCTCTCCCACTCCCCCTGCTTGTGTTCCCTCTCTCTCTGTGTCGCTCTCTGTCAAATAAATAAATCTTTTAAAAAAAAATAGTCTGGGTGGGGTGGCAGCAAATATCAAGGGGAAAATGAGATAACTGGCATTGGGTTGCAGGAAAGCTACGAGAAAACAGCAGAACGGGGCAGGACTGTGCGCTGTGGAAACTTCAGGTCCACACAGTGAGGTTGCTGCGGGCAGGCCATGGTGGTGGAGTCCTGTCACTAGCCAGTACCAATGGTGTCCCATGTGTTTGGGGTTTTCTTTAAACATAGTTTTGCTAAGTTTTATTAGGAATTCTTTGCCTTGTCTTCAGACCCTAACATTTCCCCCTCACCCTTGTGGTCCCGGGCGCCGGGGCTTCTCCCTCCCAAATAATGCCTGGCGGGCAGATCAGCCCCTTGGCCCCAGCTTTGGGTCTGGAGGTGGGCGTGGGAGAGCGAGCAGGGTCGCTCTAAACGGAATGCGTTCCCAGGGGGTGTCAGGCTTTTGTGTTTGATCTCTAAGCCTGATGATTGAGCCTGAATTGACACCATGCCAACTGGTTCTCTGCTGTTAAAAGTGATTCTTTAACTTCCTGTGGAGCAGCAGAAACTGGTTTTGAACAAATCTAGCCCTAAATCTTTACAGCTGTTGATCCCTGCAAGCACAGCGGAGGAGTAAGGGATTACAGCCACAGCGCAGCTAGCGAAGTAAAGAGCCTTGACAAGTCACAAGACAAAGCCCGTCTGCAAATCGTTGGAAAGGAAGTAGCTTTGCTCTTTAAGAACAGGGAGCCGTGTCCAAACTACAAACCCAGAGGGGCTGGAGTCTGGGCCGGGAGTGGCCCGCATGTGGTCTCAGCCGGGGACCAGACCAACGACGGAAGCAGATGCTGGGGCTCCTGGGGGTGGGGCTCAGGAACCTCTGGAGACTGGTCTGCGAACTAACACTCGTTGGTTCTCATCATCCTGTGTTCCTTGCAGACGCAGAATGTTCAGCTCAACAAAGAAATGACACTCGCCAGCAACCGGAGCCTGGCAGAAGGAAACCTTCTGTACCAGCCCCAACTGGACGCCCTGAAAGCACGTTTGACCCAAAAATACCAGGAACTCCAGGTTCTCTTTGAAGCCTATCAGATAAAGAAGACCAAATTAGGTAACTTTTCCAGGGTGATCCTTCCAGAATAAAGAGTTGAGGGAGGGGCACATTTTCAAGCTGTTGGGCTACCAGGAGAGAAGTATTATCATGGAAAAATTTCAGATTGAGACACTGGTTAAGGCCACAAAGAAAAAGTGTACATAGTCATTCCACGTATTTAGAAAAGAGACTTAGCCACTTTTTAAACAAAATTTCACTTTCTCCAGACAGCCAAAAAAAAGTAACTTTCTGAATCATGGTATTTAACAAATGTCTCCTCCTGTGAGTTAGGCCTTCAGAGTTAGTGCTGAGAAATATTCCTCATGGGGACATTTCATCTTAACATCACACTTAGATTTATGTCATTATGAAGAGCTGTAGGAACTGAGTATGGAGTCCTGAGTGCTCTGCATGGCTTTCGAGGGGGCTCCAGTGAAGAAAAGGTTAAAAGCCCTGCCCTTCAGTGAGGTCTGATACCAGGACTCCCTCAGCGTCTGCGTCACTGCAGTAAAAGCTCAGGAAGGCAGGCCCAGCCTGAGGAGCTCTTTGCTGGCTGGGAGGATGTACCTTGTAATGTAAACTGGTAAAAATCAGCTTGGGAAAAGTTGTTTAGCAAAACCTACCTAAAGGAAACCTGTGCTGACTCTGTGATTCAGCCAGTCTGCCCCTCGGTGTGCCCCCAGCAGAGATGGACGCTCGCGGCTGTCCGTGGACAGGCCCAAGAATGGTCACGTAGCTTTGTTTGTAATAGTGGAGTTTGGAAACCACCTAAATGTCCGTGTACAGAATGCTGGGTCCGTGAGTTCTGGTCTCTACACAGTGGGCATTGAAGGAAACCGGGATCTCAGATCCACGGTGTGGGCTGGAAGGGGCCAGCACAGAGCACGCCCTGGGTGATGCGCTCCCGTGAAGTTCTCAGCCAGGCAGGACTTGGGCATTGGCGCCGCCTCGGGGCCAGTCTCTGGGACTGGCCCTGGTGAGCCTTTGTGAATGTTCTGTATCCTGATCTGGGGGGTGGTGGTTGGGGTTTATACACTTGTAAAAATTGAGGTGCTAGGCTTAAATTACATCTACTTGATATAAGTTATCACTCAGAAATACAAAGGAAATCTGCATGGGGTGGTTCATGTTATGTTGTGTGTTGGGTGACAGCCTTCTGTAGGGCCAACGGTGACATGGGGTGTGGGATGCGTGGTGTAGCCCCGAGTTTGTCCCCTGTTTTGTCCTGTGTGCTCCTTCCTCTCCTGGATTTTAAGGCCTTGGCTTTCAGCTCCCTAGAAAGCTGTCTGTTAACCTTTCCAGTTAAGGTGCGCTCCTCTTTGAAAGGAGGATGGCACGGAGCCTGGGGGAGCATGTCGTTCTGAGGGGCTGGGGCCCAGATGCGCCCTTCTCTCATCATGCCCCTTGCTTCTTTCAGACAGGCAGTCTAGCAGCGCTTCCTTGGAGACCCTGCTGGCACTCCTGCAGGCAGAAGGGGCCAAGATTGAGGAAGACACCGAGGTAAAGCCAGCCAGCCGGCGTGAGTGCAGTGCCCCAGGGCACAGATCCCAGGGTCTGGGCCAGTTCCTCCGCAGCCAGGAGGCTGTAGTGGGCCTGGTGCTCCAGCGAACGGTGCGCACCGTACTGCGAGTCCACGCCGGTCCCGGGGCTTCCGGCAGCCGACGCACCTTTGGCTCTGAATCCGCGGGCAGGGCAGAGCCTTTGAGATGCAGCTCGTTGAGCGCTTGAGGTTTGAGCCTCACGAAGCAATATGGCCCTGAGTCAGGGTCAAAAGTTGCACAGTTGTAGCAAGCTGAGGTGGGCGGCACGTTGCCAAGTTAGGCCGGGTGGTCGAATTCACCCCTGGGTTGGGTGGCTCCCTGGTGGGGCACGAGCCTGTCCCTGTCCTACCGACTCTCTGTACGGTGGAAGGAAGGAAACGGACTCGGGCTGGCTTGGTGAGAAGGTGGGAAGTGGGTCGGGCGGTTTCCTCTGGGCCTTGAAGCCCAGCAGCTCAGGGCTGCCGAGAGGCCCGCTTCCTCAAGGGCTGGCTCCCCCTCAGGCCTGCTGCCTTGTGCAGCTTGTGGGGGTGCGGCGGGCAGTCAGGACCCGCTACCTCTTTCCCCTTCTCTCTGCCAGGGTGCTGGGGGGGCCGCTCTGAGGTCAGCCAGGGTCTGCAGTGGGGAGCGGGGGACGGGGGACAGAAGGAAGCTGGGTGTTGTCTCTCGCTGGGTGGTGAAGGGAGCTTCCTTCCCTAAGGGCTGACCTGTCCCTGTAACCAGCTTTCTCCTGCTGCTTTCAGAACATGGCAGAGAGGTTTCTTGATGGAGAGCTTCCTCTGGACTCCTTCATCGATGTCTATCAGAGCCAGCGGAAACTGGCCCACACTCGGAGAGTTAAAATCGAGAAGCTCCAGGAGCTGGTGCTGAAGGGGCAGAGACTTCCACAGGCCTCTGTGCCGGCCCCACTGCTGCCCAGGGTGCCCGAGCCGGTGCCCGCTGCCCCCCTGCCCTACCCTACCTCGGAGGCCGGTGGGCCTCCCTCCATGCTACCTCGGCGCATCCCCCCGCCACCACCCCCGGTGCCTGCAGGACGCTTGGCCACGCCATTTACTGCCGCCATGGGCTCAGGACAGGCCCTCCCGTACCCAGGGTCACAGTGCCCTCCCCTGCCCCCCCGCATGGGCCTGCCCCCCCAGCAAGGATTTGCCGCACAGTTCGTGTCTCCGTACCCGCCCGCTCTCCCCCAAAGGCCCCCACCCCGGCTGCCTCCACACCAGCCAGGCTTCATCCTCCAGTGAGCCTCCCCCGTCCTTCCTGGGAGGCTGCACCTGCCGGCCGGGGCTCTGCACACACAGGCTGCGAGGACCAGGGGGCCGATGCCCTGGGCCAGCATGTCCATTTGATTTTAGAACTGTAGGTCAGCGGTAAGTAGCCGTAGGACCCCGGTTTTGTACCCAGGAGGTTGTGTGTGCAAGGCCTCAGCCTGGCATCCCCACGGTCGCGTTGGTTGGTTTTTGGTATGATTTTTAAGTCTTGTTAATGTTGATGGACTTCTAGGTCTGGGGGAAAAGCGTCCCTCCCTCCCCACTTAAAATTGTGGTCCTCCCATTGCAACTTTATTTAATGAGCATGCTCCATCGTTTCTTCTTTGTTTGCAAAAGTCCAGACCGTGCGGCCTTGCCCACCGCGCGCCACAGTCCCTGGTCAGGGTGGGTCAGGGGGGCTGGCCTGGAAGGTGCTTACTGAATCTGGGGGCAGGGGTTGCCAGTCACCCCTCCCCCCAAACCTGGATGCTTCAAAGCCCCGTGCAGCGTTTGCACTGGGCCCACGGCCAGGTGCAGAGGCTGGGTGAGTTGCAGCCAGGCCGGAGGAGGCGGGGGGTCTGAGCTGGGCCGTGCACGGCGATGCCCTCCACTCCTTTTCTCTCTCCGCCGTGGGCCAGCCCCTGACGGTTTCTACAAAGAAATATTCCCCCCAATATTTTTACTACCTAATTTTCCTATTTTATATTGGCAAAGAAAACTTTTTGGACACAAGACCATTCAGGGAAACTTTATAAAAATGCAAATATTGTTTTGAGCAGATTGAAGTACAGAAGTGAATGCCATTTCCTTTTTTACAAGCAGTGTATGGTCACACCTGTGGGTGCCTGTGCTGTGCCTTAGTTTCCCCTGGCGCCAGTGAGGGGCCGGCCCCAGCTCCCCTGCAGGCCCCCAGCCTGGGCAGGCGGAGGGGTAGCTCCTATAAGCGGCTTTATGTTCCCAGAGGGGCTTGTTAGGTGTGTTACCAGCAGAAGCAGCCTGCCTCCCCCCCCATGGACCAAGATCCTTGTAGCCAATCTTCTCTTCTGCTGGGGCCTCCAGGCAGGAGGGGCACAGAGGGACTCGAGCAGCATCGCAGCTGGGGCCGGAGCCAGCCAGCACCAGGATCCTCGGAGGGTGCCAACAAACTCGGACGCGCTGGCCCCACCCCTGGCTCCGTCCTGGCCCTTGAGGGTTGCACCGGCCCAGGTGACAAAACTGAGCACACACGGGGTGGGTCCCAGCAGGCCAGGGCCGAGGCCACCATGCTTGGTCTTCAGCTGCCCTGGGCGTGGACACCCCTGTACCATCACTCTTTGTAATGCTGGGGGGGACGATTTACTGCCCTGCCACTCAGAGTTCTGGGAAGCTTGAGAGATTGGTGCTCCCCCCCATCCCTCCACCACCCACCCCGAGGTCGGGGGACGCCCACAACCTGTGCAGGGTGTAGCCAAACGTGTGAGCTCAGTGTGGATGTGGGGAAGGGGCTGCCAAGCTGGCCTCGTCTCTCTCCAGGGCCATGCCTGAGCCGGGGCTGTAAAGCTGGAGGACCCTTTTTAATAAACAGAATTAACGATGGTCCTGTCATTTCTTTTTACCTGGGGATGTTCATGGCGTGTTTGGTTCTAGATAGATGCTCAGTGATCAGAGTTCCAAGAGGGAAGCTGACTTGTGTCTGTCGCAGTTGAGAAGCCACCCAAGATGGCTGAGGTGCCTGCCTTGACCAGGGTCCCTGGCACTAATAGAGCCTTTTGTGCTGCTTCCCAGATTCTCCTGGCCAGGGGTAAAGGTGGGAGAGCGTGTCCCCAGGGTTGCAGCTGCCCCCCGACCCCACCCCCGGCCTCTGGGTTCAGTCTTTCTGGCTCTGTCCTCCGGGTCACCAGCATGGGCTGCACTGCTGAGGGAAACTCGGGCCCTTGTCTGTTTCAGGTAATGATAGAACTGAATGGGTGACCTTTAGTTCTGGAGCCGAGACAACCCCCCTCCCTGCCTACCGGTCCCAGGTGGAGTTGGGTGCTGGGAGAGGGACCCTCCAGGGCTGCACCCCAGAAGTGACTTTCCGCACTGCGTTGGCCGGAACAGGAGCGCTGAGACCAGTCCCGAGTCAGCCTCCCTGGTGCGGCCTCCTCCGGGGGGGGCTGCCGGCCCGTGCCCGTCCCCGCACAGGGAGGACGTGCTAGGGACACGGCGGGAGTGGGCCTGGGAGGAAGAGGCAGGCTTCTCCTGAGAAATCCGTTTGCTTTGGTGAGAATTTTTGTCTGATTGATAGTTGCTCTTTCCCCAGGGGCTGCTTAGGAAGCTTCCAGCCAAATCTGTAGCCGCCTGTGGGGGCGCTCGCTAGACAGGGCTGTGCTTGTGGTGGCTTCTCACCAGCCCAGCCTCGTCTGATCCTCGCCTCCCTCCTTCAGGCCCCTGTGCTTGGGAGGGGGTCAGGGAGGCGCGGTTGGGGGGGGGGGCGTGCACAGACCCCGAGGCTTCTGGTTAAAGGTTTGCTCATGGAGGACCTCACGTCAGTCCGGCTAACATTGCTCTGGACCGGGTGTGGTCCATGCAGGGCAGTTTTCACTGGTTTGTATTTGGTGGAGCCGAGTATCTGCTTTAATGTCTTTTCTGAAGCCGTTTTCCCTTACAAATGAGAACCAGACACCGGTTCCGTTTGACAACCCCACCCACACTTCCCAACCAGCCTGGAGCCAGTGAGGCAGGCCCCATTTCACCCTTTGGGAAAGCCGGGCTCAGGGAGTGGGACTCTTGTCTGAGGCCACATGTCTTTCTCGGACCTGCACCGTGTCTGTTTCCACAAATGCTGGTGACCTGCCGGGGAAGGGGGCACGCACTCTGCGGGCAGCGCACCAAGGCAGGCCTGCCTGGCCGGGAGCCGTGCGCAGCCCCAGGGAAGGCGGGGGCCTGCACAGCCCCAGGGAAGGCGGGGGCCTGCACAGCCAGAGGCCGGTCAGGTTCTCCGAGGGAAGGCTGGGTGTGGCCGCGCCGTCAAGTCCCACCAGCGAGCCCCACCAGGGGCCATTCTTAACTGCAAGGACTCCGTGGTCACTCCTCCCCTTCCCAAAGCAGTGTGGTTTCTGAGTGGGCTGGGGGAGTGGGGACAGGAACCCAGGGGGGCTTGGGCAGAGTGCGGGGGCCAGGCGGGAAGACTCACCACACCGGCGTCCATCCCCGGGCCTCAAGTCAAGTCCCAAAGCTCCCAGGACACAGGCCAGGGCACTTCTCGGCAGAAGCAGCTCAAGCCAGCTCTTCTGTGGTTCCAAGCGCTCCGTCCCCTGCAGAAGCTAAGTGGTCCCCTACCCGGCGTTGCGCGTCCCGGCCCCGGAGAAATGAACAGCCCAGGCGCGGCCCCTCTGGCAACAGTCCAAGTGCATTTTATTGCCGATCTGACTCTTCCAACAAGGTAATGCTAAGGGCAAAGCAGAAGAGCTGGTCCTTTTACTCCTCTCCAGACCAGGGCTGGGACCGGACCATCGTGGGGGTGGGGAAGTTTGCGGGGCCCAAGCTGCTGGTCCTTTCCTCCCGACGCCTCCGTGGCGTCGGGCTGGGGGCTCCAGGAACACAGGTTCTTGCAACTCCTCCAAATGGGGCCACAGGGGGGAGTGGGGCTGCCGGGTGGCCCACTCCCTAGGGGAGGGCAGGCAGGCGTCCTAGTTGCCGGGCTTTTGGTGGCTGAGCTGGGGAGGGCTTGGGGAGGGCAGGCTGGACCGAGTGAGGGGAGGGTGGGGTGGAGAGGGGGTGGGCAATGGGAAACACGCAGAACAGGGCTTCCAGGGCAGGAGCAGTGAGCAGGGGCATGGAAACCAGGAAACAGGAGGGTGGCCCCAGATGGGAGCAGACTCCGGGAATGACAGTAGGCCAGCACCTGTGCCCACCAGCTGGGGGCTCTGGCCGCTGCCCCCAGACTAAGGGCACATCCTCTGTGCTCCCCTACACTGAGGCCTCTGAGGGAGGCCCAAGGAGTCTGGGCAGGACCCCGGCCCGCCCCAGAGCGGTCTGCTTTGCCTGAGACCAGCCCGGGCCCGTCTCCATGGAATACTGTGCCCCAAGAAGGCTACAGCTAGGTGACATCTTGCCTATGACCCTGGCAGCCAGCAAGGACTGGTTTTTCAGTATTAACCTCAGACCTTGAGTTCAAAAGGCAGGGAGGTCCTGCCCAAACACCCTCTCCAGGGGCCCTGCTTCCCAGGGTGAATCCAAACTCATGAAGGAAAGCTCTAACTCAGATTACAAATGTTCCATACATTTCCGGAAGACCCGTGGCTCAGGCCTGCTGGGCTCTGGCTGCTCTCACCACTGCCCGGTGCAGACAGACTCATGTCCAGGAGAACCGCCCCGATCCCCGATCCTTTGGGTTCAGCCAAGGCTGGGGACCTTGGGGACACCGAACCTGGCTGTGGGGCAGGGGGCTGCAACCCCTTGGAGGCTCCTGAGCCAAGTCGGGACAGCCACACCAGGCCCAGGCCTGCCCACTAGCCTCCCCAGCAGACCCTTCAGGAGCCTAGTAGTTGACGAGTTGAGCTGGATAGACGCCATCCTTTTTGTCAAGCTGCAGGAGGCAAAGATGAGGGGCTCAGTGGACATGGCGAGGCCCCCAGACACCCTACTTGGCCCCCTGCATCCTTCCCTTGAGCCAGCCTCCCAGCCTCCCTCCCCCCCTTGTCCACCATCCTCCCCCTGCTGCTGCCAGAGGTTCCCGACTTTCCCAAGGCCCTGTGCCCTGCAGACTGGGGTGCAGAGACAGGGACAGCACCCCCAGGGCCCCTCTGGCCCCAGCACTGATGTCTGGCACCTGGTGGTCCTGCCGGGGGGCCACACTGGGCTTCTGGGCCAGAGGCGGCTTCTTGGAGGCCCCGCTGCGGGCGGCAGCGCTGGGTCGGCCGAGATCCTCATCACTGGGCGTCCCCACAGCCCCAGCCAGCATGTAGTGCTGCTTCCGCAGCATCCCCAGCCGCACGCGCTCGGCTTCCAGCGTTTTCTCCAGCTCCAGCACGCGGACCTGTAGCCCCGCATGCCCGCTCAGGATGGCCTCGTGACCCGGGCCGCCCACCCGCCCAGAGCTCAGCCCTTGAGGAGGAGCCGGTGCTCACCTGGGTCTCCATCTCCTCTTTCTTCAGCTTGATGAGGGACAGGCCAGAGAAGTCCATGGTGTCTGTGGCCAGAGCAGGGTGGGGGCGGGGGGTGAGCGTCTGTACACC